CTCGAAGAATTATGAGAAGCAATTGTATTCGACGCAAAAGCTTGTCCGAGATCGTAACTGTTATCCTCGCTATCCGTTTCACGGCCTATTTTATCACGTGATTGGAAACTAAAATCGACTTGCCGCCATTTTTAACAACCGGATTGCTCACTTTTTTCGAGATATAAGAATCGATGTGTACGAGTAGCACAAAATCGTGTATAAATCGTGTATAACGTTCGTTCATTCGTCTAGCGATTGGAAAGGGTTGACAATGAGATCAGAGTGACCGGAGAAAACAGGAAACGGCGAGAAGCGAAGCGAGCGATTACCAAGCATTAGTTACGGTGCAACATAACCGTGGCATCTCTCCGGGCGCAGCAGTTTGGAAAGCGGTAATTGCAAGACAACTGTTGGCCCTTCGCCTGATCCACGGGGGTGGATCGGTGATAACGAGTGCTTACATCGTGGACGCGACATCGTGGAACCGTCGTCCAGTCAGCTGGACGAACACGCGATCTATCGTCCGCTTGAAACTGCTCGATGCAGTTTCGCGACTGATGAACGTTCAGCGGTCGAATCGTTCTCAGGGAGGAGAAAGAAGGAATGGGGTGGAATGGAGGAATTTGTGGCAATTTGGAATTTGATGGTTCAAAGTATGTGAATGATTTGGGAAATGAATTCGGAGAGGATGTGTCGTCGATTAATGACCAAGGAAAGGTAATGTGTAAGAAATTGTGAAACAAATCGTGTTGCAAACGTTTCTTTTCTCCCAGGATTAAATTTAAACGTTAAGTTATGTGCGATTATATTGGAGGATTTATTTAAAGAAAGAGAGAAAAAAAAGCCACGGTAGAAGAAAACGGAAGTTCGGAAACGTTGCTTGTTGCAAGACGAGCAAGTTTCCGGATCCTCCTATAAATCCATAACGTTCTTAGGTTGACGTGGAAGACGCGTATCATGAATTATTCCGGTATTCTGGTTGCCCGAATTATTCATAAGAAAACAAATGTTGCTCGAGGTACTTGGTTCCATTCGGAGCCGGGACTTTGACTCGAGAGTCGCATCGCGAAAGAATCTATAAATCTTTCGTACGTCGATGACTCTTTAATTCGAGCGCAATTTCTCTTTCTTCGCAAGTTTCTCGATTTTCAAATTGAAGAATACATTATCCATGAGATTCTTTCTTTAAAATTTCTCCTTCCTAAAATTCATTTTTAATTTTACGCATAATCAAGCGGCCATATTGTTACCCTTCAATCGAGTTAAAAATAACAAAATGCTTCGACATTCGGCGAAATAATTTCTCCAAACCACGTAGAACCCTTTGCGAAAGTTTAAAAAAATTTCGAATAAATTTACTTTAAGTAATTATTCATTGAAATGCTCGAACAACATTTATTCCTAGCTGTTATAGTAGATCCGTTTTTCGTGCAATCTCGGCCGTTTATTATATACCGTTGAGCGATAAATTGTTGAAGCAACTCATCGAAATAACTTTATCCGTAACTTCAACTATTAAATTTTGCCCACACGTTGGACGTCGCGTAGAGACGAGAGAGACAAGATGCTTTCCAGGAACATCATTTCAAGGTTGTCCGATCGCGTAAAGGAGATCCATTAAAATCATTCTGCGGTATAATCAGGGGCCTCGAAGTGCAAATCAGTCTCTAAATAGTCCACTAGTAGATCGACCTCCCGTTATCGTGTCCCGTGGCGGGTTTCGAGGCAGACTAGTAGGTAGTCTAATTCCCTGCCTTCAGGGTTGAACCAATTAATAAATTTGTACCGGTCGGCTGGCCACAGAACAGGCTTCTGTCTCCGCCTCTGCTTCAAGAGGTATCCATTGTTGTCGAGACAATGCCCGGCTACTTGCTAGTTAGACTACCTAACTGTCCGCGGTAACGATCGAGCGCTATGTCGGATTA